TGTTCTAATTAATCTTGGTTATGGATATGGGCAGCTTTTGGAAGGGATCGAATAAGTCATGGCCTTTGTTCCTTTGATAGTGTTTGTTTCACTACCTTTAATGGTATTATCGGGCATAAATTTAAGAAATTCTTAATATGTCCTGGGCCACAAATGTAGAAGAAGACAATGTAGAGTTTGATTATTAGCGTCTTTAAGCCGCTTAAGAAATGTGCTAATGTTGATGCTGCTCATAGGGAGGCTTTGAGACCATTGCTCTCAAGAATCACATTCATTTTAAAGGTTTTATTAATCAGACTTTAGCAGGCTACAATATTATTGTGGTTTTATGTAATTTGAAGACCTGATAGATTTTGATCAGTGGTAGGATTCTGTTTTCTTTGCTTTTATGTTTACTAATTTGACTACTAACTTTAAAAATAATTAAATCATTTGTAAGTTTCAATCTGTACAGGTATTTATGGGAAAGTGTTAAATTCACAAGAATTAACACCAAAACAATATTATTTTTATGAGTGACATACTCTGAATTCCTGCAAAGATTCCCATTTGACCCGGAATATCAGTGCTTATGTCTCCTTTTGGAGAGAGTGTGAATAGCTAGTAATTTGTCTTCCAGTTCATATGTGTGCATGTGATAAAGAAACATACAATTAGGTAGGTGTTATAAATAGGATATGGCAAAAAGACATACCTACTCATGTTTCCAAGATTTTATAGCATATGCCCAGCGAAGGTTTGCTTCTCTTTAATTTTGCCTGTTGGGCTAACCAGCTGACGCCCAGTTGAAAAGACTTATGCTCTTATGAGGCCGCAAAAGCCTTAATGTTCAGTCTCCAGTCTCAGGGTTTGGAGAACGCCATGTACCATCAGTAGCTTCAGCTTCTACCCTCTAATGCTAACGCTCATCTATCAAACTTGAGGCAGAGAGTGAGGGAGAGGAAGCTTCCAGATAAACATACAACAGCGCCTAAACAGCTAATCACTCTAGGCTTCCGCTTCCAGGCCCTATAATTAGAAGTCCTTCTTTCCCTTGTGTTCCCAGATGACGCAAATGCATTCTGTGGCTTGGCACCTCATTTGGGGCGTAGGTTTAGTTTATGGCCAGGCTAGTCTGGTTTAGTCTTCTGATGCTGCATAAATAGTTCTCAAGCCACAGTCTACTCTGTACAAGTTTTTCCTTTTATGTATATCTGCTTTTTAACTTGTTTTCTAGAAAAAAAAAAAAAAAAAGGCTTGTCATTTCTCCCAGCAGAATGTGTGCAACAGAGGAAATTATAAATTAAAAGAAAGCACATGGTTGAATAGCACTACACAAGCTATTTCTTCTCCTCCTCTTTGCTCTTTCAGTTTTTCCCCATCATTTTAAAGTTTTGTCAAAAAAATTAAGCTTATTGCTGGATTATGGAAGTTTGTGTGGAGAAGTAAAAAAAGAAAACTTTGAGATAGGATACACAGAAGACATTAAGGATACATTTTCAATGGGCTGTTCTTCTAAAAATCTGAATTTGTTTCCATATTAGAAACTTAGGAATTAATGTCAATTTCAAAAGCTGGGAGCATATTGAAAGTGTTCTTGTGAACTCTCATTTGTTAAACAATAATTGTCTTGATTTGGCTAATAGGAACTTTTATTTGAATGCTCATTTTGAGTAAAATATTGACGTATGAGTCTAAAAGAAATGAAGCTTATCTTCAGAATGGGAGTAATATACTTGTGTTATAAATGTAGGCTCATCATAGTTCCCGTCAGAATGATGTTTCCATTGGATGGCTTGTCATGTGCAGAAAATAGTTTTGTTGTGGGAAAGTAGAGTCAAAACCTTTTAGTGGAATTGTGACAACGCACACTTAGTGTAACTCAGCAAAAAATAGGAGAGAAGAGATACTGTCCACAAAAGGGTAACCAAGCATTTATGCCCAACCATGGAAATTGATTGTTTGAACAACAATAGCAGTATGGCAAGAATGTAAAGTATGTCTCTGACATCATGACCATAGCCAGGCGCAGGTTGGGAGGCAATGTTACATAAACTGTTATAGATTTGAAGTAGATTTCAGTAAATAACACTTTCCATCACTTAAAATGTGTTCTGGAAATAACCAGGGCACTGGCAGCTAGTGTGTTATTTTTAAATCTAATGTAGTGAGCAGAGCTGTACCTTACATTAGCCAAGTAAATAGCAAACTCAGATATACTTCATCTTTCCATTGAAATGCCTACCTTATCTTCCCACAGGTGCTTAATATTCTTTCAAATCTTTTCTTTCAACAAAGAAAAGTTTGAACAGTAAAAAGAATGTAATTCCATTTCTGGCACAGCAGAATATGCTAATAAGCCATTGTTTCCACAGAGAAATAGAAATTCTGGACAGAATATAAACAGGCACAAATTAAGGTGTGTTTATGATAATCCCTGGGACTACCAAGAAAAACTTAAAGAGATATATCAAAAAAGTCAATAGATAACTTAATGGGATATTAAAAATAACAAAATTATCCAAAAAGGGGGAAGGAGGTAAGGACAGAGAAACTAACACAGACGGAAAAATTATAAGAAATGATAAGTGGTAGATATGAATTCAACGCTACAAATAAATTACATGTATATGAACTACAAACACCAGTTAAAAGTCTGGGATTGAATTAAAAAACAACTAGACCCCAATTGTTGTCTAAAACAAAGTAATTTAAATTGAAAAGAGAATATCAATGATACCAAAATAGGTTTCCTTGAAAAGGTCTAGCCAGACTGACCAAGAAAAAAAAGATAAAAAGACACAAATTATTGATATCCTGAATGGAAGAGTTGACATTATTAAAGACAGACCCTGTAAATATTAATAAGGGCCATTTCCTTGAAGTACAGAAAGTAATTCAACCAAGAAGAAAATTTAAGTTAAAAAATATAAAATATATAAAATTTTAAATTAACAAAATTTAAATTAAAAAAATTGAGAAATTTTCCAACAGAAGGCCAACGTAGTTTTACTAGCAAATTCTGCCAAACATTTGAGTAAGAAATAATAGTTTTCTTTACTCTCTTCTAGAAATTGAGAATATGAGGAGCATTTCACAACAATGATGCCAAAAACATATTATTAGAAAACTATAAACCACTATACCCTAGGAACACAGACATGAAAATCTTCAACAAAATATTAGCTAATGTATTCCCGTAGCATATAAGAAAGGTTTTTGCTGAAGTGGAGCTTATCCCAGGAATGCAGAACTTGTTGAACATCTGATAATCATTCATTATTAAAATTCACCATATTAATCGACTAAAGAAGAAAAACCACTTAACTTTCAAATAGGTACAGAGAAGCACTGAAAGAAATTCAACATTGGTTCATTATAAAAATTCTCAACAAATTAGGGGTAGCAAGGAGTGTCCTTACGTTGATAAAGGGCATTAATAAAAACTTAAGCTAGCATCGTACTGAAAGATTGAGTGCTTTCTTCTAAAACTGGGAACAACGTGTGAATATTGCTTCTTACTACACTTGTTTACTCCAGAAAATGTAGTAACTCACAAGAAAGAAAGAAAAGGCATGTAGTTTAGAAAGAAAGGAGTCAGATTATGTCTGTTCACATGCTCCTTGATTGTCTGTACAGAAAATTTCTTTGTAATCTACATCAAAACTCCTAGACCTGGTAGAATATATAGTCAATATAAAAAAATGTCAATTATGTCTCCGTATATCAGCAAGGAAAAATTAATAATTGAAATAAAATAAATAGCACCANCAGTCAGTATAAAAAAATGTCAATTATGTCTCTGTATATCAGCAAGGAAAAATTAATAATTGAAATAAAATAAATAGCACCATTTATGATAGATGTAAGAAAATATAATTTGTGTGTTGAACAAAAAGAAAAAACTCAAGAAATATGATGTATTCGTCTTCTGATCTAAGAAGACTGAACATTGTTAACATGCCCATTATCCCCAAAATGATTTATAGACTTAATACAATTCTCCCACAAATCCTAGGAATTATTTTTAGTAGATATCAAAAAAGTTGATTCTGGGTTTGGAAAGGCAAAGGTATTGGAATAGCCAAAATGATGAAAAAGTTCAGAAAAGGAGGCCTCACTTTACCTTGATTTCAAGCTTTCCCACATAGTTACAATAATCAAGAAAGTGTGTTATCAAGGAAAGTATAAACACAGAAATCGAGCAGATAGAACTGTGCTTTCAGAAGAAGACCTGTGCAAATATGGCCACTTGATCTTTGCAAGTTGACAATGGATAACACATAAAGGATAAAGAAGTCAACGGGCAAAGAATAGTCTCCTTGAAATCTTGCTGGAACAATTGGACATCATTTGCAAAAATTAACTTGTCTGATATACTTTATGTAAAAATTAACTCAAAATGGATGGTAGACCTAAATGTAAAATAAAACAAAATGGAATTTTGACAAGAAAATATAGAAAACTTTTGCAGCTTTGGATTAGGCAAAGGATTCATAGCTGTGACATCTCCAAAGTTAAAAACTTGCTCCGTGAGGATAGGGTAGGCAGTTCCATAAAAATTATGCCAGGGTGGAGACAAGTTTTAAACTGGTGAATTAACTAGGGTATTAGTAGTTGTTTTAGTAGGTAAATTGGAACTTAAAATTCAGGTTTCGAGCAATGGCAAAAAGTAGGAATGGGTTCCATGGAAGTAAGTCATTTTCACATTCGTTTGATCAAATTCGCCATTTGAAAGTGCTTGTGAACTCTCTGTAAGTTCAGGCGTGTAAAACTCTTTTCTGCGAGTTGTATGGTAACACCATAAAGCTAGCGTTCTCACTGTTGTGTACTGACGTGGCGTTAACGTTTTTATTCATATAGGAAAAAGATACTGTTTTCATTTTTATTGCAAACACTTTCTTATATTGTTGGCAATTTTTTTTCTTCAACACTGTAAAGCATGGTGAGTACTTTGTGAGAATATTTCATCCACATACATAACGGTGTTTTTTTCGCCCGTTTTTTGGCGTGTCCTGCAGGAATGCTTCTCGTCACAACAGACACCCTCGGCCATGACTTTCATGTCTTCCAAATCCTGACCCATCCTTGGTCCTCCTCGCAGAGCGCGGTCCATCACCTCTACACTCTCCACCGGGGAGAGACCGAAGCCAAAGTGAGTGGTGTATTTTTCAGAAGGTTTTCTTTGCGTGACACGACATCTTATCTAGCTGGTTGCCTGTATCATACTGGAGCTTAATGTTAAGGAAAAAGAATTTACTGTATTTTGACCCAGTAAATACATAAGCAGTAGGTAAACAATTCAATGAATGCTAAGACAAAAGTTTCATTTATCTTTCGTCTCCTACTCTAATTCCATTTCTTGCTCTAGAGCAATCCTGTCATCCAGTTTGATATCCATCTCTCCAGATCTTTTTCTAGACATTTTGATTCTGTATACATGCATGCATAGATATATACACACACACACACACACGCATACATGAAAGCACATACATATTCACATATGCACAGAAATAATTGAGTTCTATAGTGTATGTGACTTTATGGATATTATTCAGTTTACAATGGCTTGTGAGAATCAGTTGTGCACTTCTGTCCCCAACTCCGGATGTAGTGACATTACATTGGTGTGAAATCATCCACAGTAGGAGTTTTTACGTAATGGAAATCAGCAAACACTACATATCAGTAAATCTTTTTTTTTTTAGGGAGCCATTTTTTAACATTTAACAGTACATCACTGTGTACATATACGTGAGGACGTGCATGCATGTGCACATGCACACAGGCATCTGTATATATAATTTACTGAGCATTTGTATTAGACATCATGCTAAGTGCTTTACATGTATTTAATATTCTTAATATTACTTGGTAGATACTGAGATATTATCTTTTTTTTTTTTTTAAACATACCTTTATTGATTTCAGAGAGAGGAAAGGAGGGGGAGAGAGAGACAGAAACATCAGCGATGAGAGAGTCATTGATCGGCCGCCTAGCCCGCAACCCGGGCCTGTGCCCTGACCGGGAATCGAACCCCGATCTCCTGGATCCTAGGTTGATGCTCAACTGCTGAGCCACGCCCGGCCGGACATGAGATATTATCTTAATGCCTAAAATCCCAAATATACTTTTGTTTCATAGAGCCTGTGGTTATGCATTTACTAGAATACTTCTGCATGTGCTTTATTCTGAGCTCATTGACCCAACCCCATTTATTGACTCCTCCATCTTTTCTCAGTAGTCTACAATGTGATCTGTCATAAATTTCCATGAAAAATTTTTATAGTAGAATGAAACATCTTAAACATACAGAAACACATGGTGGGTATAGAATGATATTTTAAAAGGAAGCATTGGACATTACTGTAGGTGGCTTGTTTATTAACCATTCTGAACGTGGATAATTAAAGGGAAAGTACCCAGCATGTACCTTTCCTGGATCAATTTAATAAGATAATCAAGTAGTTGACGAGGGAATGTTTTTCTTTATTGAAGAATTCCAGTTTGACCCCTTTAATTTCTCTGTCTTGCCGAATTGCTCTGGCTAGGACTTCCAGAACTATGTTTAATAAATGAGGCAAGGGTGGGAATCCTTGCCTTGTTCCTGATCTTCGAGGAAGAACTTTCAGCTTTTCATCGTGGAATGTGATATTAGCTGCAGGCTAGTCAAATACGGTCTTTATTATATTGATGTTTGTTCCCAGTTTGTTGAGATTTTTTTATTATGATGGGTGTTGAATTTTTTCAAATTATTATTTTTTAACCTATTGAGATGATTATATAATTTCTGTGCTTCAGTTGTTAATGTGGGGTGCATCTTAGTCAACCCCCAGCTGCCGCTGTTTGAAGCTGGGCCCTCAGGCAGCAGCTTCTAGAGGATACAAATGTGCCTCCCTCACGGGAAGGCCGGGAGATGGGCATTTAGCCTGCCCCCGTGTGCCGCGCCCACGGTGAGCAGCAGGTTAAGGAGAAACTTAAAACTATAAATATTCCCTTCCTCGTCAAGCTGTGTATTCTTTTATTTACATGTATCAGTTGGTCTAATAATGGCCGCTGCTCCTACTCAATGGGTTATATCATTCAGTAATTACTTTAATGCTCAGAATAGCCCAGATTTGGCCAGTTGGACTTGGCTGATTGACTTGGCATCTGTGTCCTGTTGACATATCTGCATTATTCTTAGACAACGTCCTTACTTTCTGGCACAACAAACTTGCTGTCATGTTTAGTTACCATTTGTTTTTGTTCCTTTCGTATGGAAGTTTTCAGTTACTATATGAGATTTTACATAATGATTTAACATCTCACTGTGCTGCCGGGCACACGTGTATTCTGAGTTTCTTTCTTAGCTCTCGCTTTATAATCCCAGGCTTACCCTCACTAGTCACTGGTGTAAGCTCTACCTCAAAGAATTTGAATATTTTAAACACGTACACTGACCTTCTTTTCACTTACACCTATTTTTGATACCTCTTTTGCATTGGCATTGTTTATAATTTAATTTACCTACACATCCACCTGGAAATAGAGACCATACTTAAACTCTTTTCTCTAACCCTTAGAGCAGTGCCTTGCACATGGAGGAATGTTTATAGGTACAGATGTTTGATACTTTCAATGCTATTCCTATTTAACAGGAAAACCAGATAGAAATTATTCAAGTTATTTTGTTCTCTGTCACAGCTTGTAATTTAGGAGCTTGGGAATTTATAAACACCAAACATCAAGATCTAAGGAAACTCAATTAATGACCATAAAATTAATTTTATAAGCTTCTACTGAAAACCATACTTTGAAATGATATATACAGTTTAACACTGATGATAAAATCTGTGTGGCATGTGATCTGTCTGTCCATCTTTGAGTACTTCAGAATCATGTCGTTCTGGATTCTTCCGAGAACTCTGAGGATACTTTAATCAGGCGAGGAAAAAAACCTCAAGTATGTGGATCTAATTATGTTGAATTAAGTTGTTTTGTGATCTATGACTTGGGATATCCTCTGCATCTGACAGTAATTTTCCTCATAAAGCACATATGTAGTTAGAAAAGTATTCCTAGTTTTCAACAGCAAAGTCATGTGTTGTAAAACCTTAAAATATTTTGTTGATATACTTCCGTAATGTCTTACTCAAGCAGACACAAGTCATTTTGTACTTAACATGCTAATTTTTATAAATGGTAAACTTGCTTTGGAAACATCTGCACATCAGATTAGTGTTACTTTTACTTTATCAGAACGATCCTGCAAAATGATATGATTAGTATGTTTATTCTCAAGGGGAAAAGAATCCAGCTTTTTAATAATTATTAATTGATAGTATTTGATGATCAGGTCAGATGAAAATAAATAAATTCAGTATGAGTATGTCCCAAATATTGCCCATTTTATGCTTTTACCAATATTCAAATTTTACTGGACTTTCTGTATTTTTACTTGCTAACCATGGCAACTCCATGATCCTGATTTTTCTCAGACCCACCCCCCAAAACATTCTTTTTATTGAGATGTAATTCTTATAATATATTATTTATCATAGCACAAATACATCCAAAGACAATACATAAACAAATGCGTATGGTTCGCCCACAGTTACAGGGACCCCTCAATCAAAGTAGAGGTGACAGCTTTCCATTATTCTGTGCCGATTGGTCCTTACATTTGTCCCTCCAGAGTTTGTCTTAGGGTAGTGACCATCCCCTTGCCTCATTGAAAGGGAGCTCTGTGGGAAAAGGGCCTGTGGGGCCAGTGGCATTGCTCCGGCGGGGGGCAGGTGATCAGCTAACCGTGAAAACCAGGTGCTGCTAGGGCCAGGGGGAACGCAGCCTGGAACGTTCCATTTCCGTTTGCCCAGCAGGCCCTGCGGGCCCGCCCACGCTGTTCCTCGTCACCTTTGAGGTGACCTCTCCCACGGGGTCTGGGAGCCCCGGAGCCTCGGGTGGTAGCTGCCCTCCGGAGGAAGTGGACTTGGTCGCGGGGCCAGGCAGGGCGGCGCGGTGCTGGGGCCGCGCCTCCGAGCACCGAGCGGCCTGTCTTCACCTAACTTCCCCCTGGGCTCCGTTGTTCCTATTGCGCAACGCGGGAAGCCTGGCGGGTGGCCAGCTGTGCACTTGCCCAGAGGACACCCTCTGACACCGGCATGTAAGCCATTGATACCAATTAGACTTCCACAGCATCACTTCGGCTCCTCTTGCCCACTGTGAACTTTGCTCGCGCCTCATTCTGGGCTGTTTTCCCTCCTCTGAGGACATGGACTAATGTGTTCAATGTGCACGTGCCGTTTGTTCCAGTGCCGGCTCTCGGTGGCCACAGGATCCCGCTCTTGGTGTCCGGGGAGGCTGGCCTACAGATACTATCGGCGAAGCCGGGAGTCTTGCCCTTTTTTTCCCACTTGGCCATTGTTGGGTCTGCTTATTTCCCCACGGGCAGTGGCACTGTAGCCTCCAGGGAGCGTCCTGGCACGACGGCCCCCTCCTTCCTGCCCCATTCCCGACACAGCCCGGTTTAACCCGTAAGTCGGGGGCGTTTGTGGCCACCCCTCACCTCTGCCGGCCGCAGCCGGAGCTGGCTACGTTAGCACTGCTGGCTCTGCGGCGCTCGCAAGGCATCCTTTCACTTTTTTTAGTTCAGATTTTTATTGAAATAATTTGTAGATTCATACGTACTTGTAAGAAATAGTGAAAGATCCCATGTGCTCTTTACCCGGTTTCTCCCAATGGTAACGTTTTGCCAAAGTGGAGTATATCACAACCGGATAGCGACAGTTTCTTTAAACCAGGGGTGGGGAACATCGCTTAGCGTGATACCTTCTTGGTCCGTCCGTATTTTCCCAGTGGCAGAATTTCATTCTTTTTTATGGCTGAGTAATATTCCATTGTATATATGTACCATGTCTTCGCTGTCTATTTGTCTGTTGATGGACACTTAGGTTGCTTCTGTATCGTGGCTTTTGTAGATAATGTTTATGGTTTTGATTGTCACTCTTACAGGCTTCTGAAAGTATAGTGCTCTTGGATTTGAGAATTTTTTTATCCAAGTTCTCTCTGCTTTTTGAGTTTTCTTTTTCTTTGAGAGATTTGGAAAGGGAATTGGTATTTGAGTCATTAGGCATGTATTTGGCCACAGAAAGAAAATCACATTTAACAATGCTTTTAAAAAATCAGGGTTTACTTTTCTCGTGTTACAAGAAGGATGCTGCTGGTTGGGTGCAATTGCTCAACAATGTCTCTGACATTTTTGCTCTTTCCCTCATGATTGTTTTATATTGCCACTGCTCTGGACATTTCTGAATTCCGGGTGGTAAGATGGGGAGAAAGGACAGCGTCAGTGACGTTAGTTCCCTTTATCAGGAAAGTGGATACTTTCCCAGAATCCTGCAGTAGCATCCTGCTTTTGTCTGACTGATTGCAGCTAAGTCAACACTCACTGTAAGAGAGGCTGGGCAGACGCATGTGAATTATCTGTGGTGGTGTCAGGTGAGGGAATGAAGTTTGGAGATGGGTGTTCGATTTGCCATCCACTCAGTACATCTGTATAACCATCACCTTAGTCAGGATATAGAAGTTCATTGTCCCAGAAAGGTTCCTCCTGCCCTCTCTAGTCACACCCTCTGCCCCACTCACTCACACCCTAGGCAATCGTTGCTATTATTTCATGTTTTATTTTTCAATTATAGTTGAGATTCAATAGTATCGGGAGTTACTTCATTTTTTAAAAAAGTATTTTTTATATAATGTCTAAGGTTTGATGTGGACTTAGGGGAACTGCCATTTCTGGCCACTTTATTATATTTTTTAGCTCTATGTTACAGGCTCTAGGTTAGTGTCGGAGTCCTTATCTGAGTGTTTTAAAACTGCAGCTGTCTCGGTCATGTCTCTCCCATCCCTCCATACCTATTGAATCATAATATGGATCTTGTTTAGAATTTAGGATGTTAAAATAACCCTAAATTTTAATCACTGATATATATTAGTTAATTGGGTTTTGAGTGAATTTGTGACATAAATTTAGAGTCTTGTAAGAGGCTGATTTGTACGTCTTAGATGCTTATATGTGGTGACATTTAATTCTAGTGCTCAGTTATTCTTGTTTCATATGTAATTTGAATTTAACCTGTTTTGTGAGTTAAATATACAATTTATGTATGGACATAATTGTTCCATATGAGTATATGTCTGCTATATAATGTTCTCTTGGATTATTAAATCAATGACAATTTAAAAAATAGATAATTCAGATGAGCGTTGGAATCTATTTGATGATGATAATACTATCTTAGAGTCCCAAATAAGCAAAATATTATATTCTACAAAAGGATTCCATATTTCTCATTAGTAGACCTATATTGCAAAAAATTATAACAATTGCCTGACGTTGTCGGTGTTATTTGCCATGATACTTAGTGTAGAGCCAAATAAGAGATCCAACTCTCAAATAGTTCTCCTGTTTTGTGATGAGAAAATCTTAACTATAGATATTCCAAGATTGAGGCCTAAAAATGCTGCAGATGACGTCACCTTCTTATTACTAGTTTGTCCTTATGTCTAGTCTTTCTTGTTTTTACTGATACATGAAAAGCCAGCCGACTTGTTTGATAATACCAACAGTTACATCATTTTGTATTTTGTGGGTAGGTGACTTATCTTTTGTAATGTTATTTAAAGGATTAAACTTGCTCTAGTCTCATGACAGCTAATATCTTTAGCAGCCCTTCTCTGCTCACTTATGTCCCCTGATGTGTCTTCAGGGTCGTAGAGCAGACTCAGTGCTCTAATAGCAGTTTCCTAAATAAGCATTTAGGTTGAATTCTGTCTTCCTGCCTTGATACTGATTGTTAGCACCACCTCGTATCAGAACTATTCTTAAAATGAAAGCGGGAAACTCCTTTTCATTGACAGATCAGGAAGTGGTCTTGATTATAAGTGTTTTGGAAAAAGGTTTTAGATCACATGGTTTCATTCCACGGTGATGGAACATAAATTACTCAGTAAGCCTAAAGATGTTTTTCTTTATATATTTGATTCCGGCTTTTGTTAATTAATGCATTTGATATTATGATATTAAATGTGTCCGGTACTGGGTGTCTTTTCTCTTGCTTGGCTATTTACATTTTTCTTTGTCCTGCCCCTTCCCTTTTTTCTTGCTTTTCTAGAAGTCATTTTAGCTGAGAGTTATCATAAGCAAAGTACAGGGGCAAAACACCTGTGAAATGACTGTTTATTCTCAATTCTAGAATTCCTGGGAGTTCAGTTTATTAGCTTTCAGGAGATTCTTTAATTATAACATTAACGTGTCATTTATCACAGTAATTGAAATGGACAGGCATGTGGTTGAATTTGGGTTTATCCTTGCATTGATAATTTTTGTCTAGCAATGAAGTGTCTTGTCTTGCTATATCAGACTAAAATTTCTTTTTTATTTTAAAGTTTTCAGGCTCTTTTAGAGACTTGTACTTTGATGAATACTTATAGCTTTGGTTTGTGCAGTATTTCTGGAATATTAGTCAGAATTCTAATGTGTTAGGCTTATTTGAAGATCTTATATATTGGAAAGTTGGCTTCTTTGACTGCTAGAGGAGTTTTACTTAGCTTATGTTGTAATGAAGCTAATGTATTCATATATTTATACACACATACATAGATTTTTCCTGTTAAATCCCGCTCACAGAAATCTTATATCCTACCAGACTTTTACATTGTCTGAGGCCTTTTTTTAAAAGCACTGTTTGATGATTGTTTTGTGTAGTAGAAAATTACTTATTTATTTTTTAATTATTTCTTAATACTTATACATAAGATAGTTATTTCACTTTTATATATTATATTTTCAAATTTTTCTTATGTGTCTTTTCCTCTTGGTAGGCTGTGAGCCCAGGTATTATTTCTTACCTCTTTGTTCTTAGTACTTATTAGCATGGTACCCAATGAATATTTATTGAGTGAATGATTGGGTTTTATTACCTCATCAACATTGTATGGTGTATATTTTTATTTTAACTAGTCTTTGCTTTTTAGAAGGAAAATTCATTTAGAGAAATAAGCCTGACTCATCTTTTCTTATAGCTCTATAGTGTGAAACTGTGTAGGTCCTGTTTTCTGACTGCACTGTAGAAGGCAAGGGGTGGAATTTCCTACTTCAAATCTTATCAAATCCCTGATACGGAGCTCTGATCACTATTCATCATGAAACTCATCTGTAGAATAAAATTTTTTATTTATAACTAGATCTTAGGTGAATTTGGTAATGAGACACACATTTCTAATCATATTTGGCGATGTGTGTGTGATGCTCTTAGATAAATGCAAGTAGTTTCAGTCACGTCTCTGTTTTTCCACGTCTGCTTCCAGGTACAAGACATCTGCTTCAGCCATGACTGTCGCTGGGTTGTGGTCAGTACGCTCCGGGGGACGTCCCATGTTTTTCCAATCAACCCATATGGTGGCCAGCCTTGTGTTCGAACACACATGTCACCACGAGTCGTGAATCGCATGAGCCGCTTCCAGAAGAGTGCTGGGCTGGAGGAGATTGAACAAGAGCTGACGTCTAAGCAGGGAGGTCGCTGCAGCCCTGTTCCAGGTCTCTCCAGCAGCCCTTCGGGATCGCCTCTGCATGGTAAACCGAATTTTCTCTCTCCACTGAGCCCTGCAGTCCTCCTACCCTTAACCGTAATTTTCAAGATCTGGGACAAAAATAAACCCATTTTCCTAATGTGTTCATGCAAAGACAAGGTCTTAGGCTCATTTTGGACATTCTTAATTTATTAAATAATGTATTTAATTGAAGCCAGTATAATAATGGCAGTCTTTATCACGCTGCTTCACCTCCCTAGCCTTTTCAATGCTTCCTTTTGCCATTTTTATGGAATATGAAGTTCAAGACTATATTCATAAATGTAGAGGTTGAATCTCATATCTATAGATCTTTTCCAGAAAACTTTATTTTTAACCAAAGCAAATACTATGTATAATTCATTAAGAAATACTCATCGTTGGAGAGGAATGGTCATGAGTCATATGTATTTTAGAGCAGCATCCGTATTTTGTTTTAAAATACATCTCTGTGGGATTTCTACCAATGTGTTGCAGGAAAAACAAACTGTATAGTTCAATAATTTATCTTAGAGAAAATAATTGTGTTACTTCACCACAACCAGTAAATGAAACATTACTAGAATTCCCTCCCCCCTTTTAAAAAATATATCTTTATTGATTTCAGAGAGAGGAAGGGAGAGGGAGAGAGAGAGATAGAAACATCAATGATGAGAGTCATTGATCGGCTGCCTCCTGCACGCCCCCGACTAGGGATCGAGCCCGAAACCTGGGCATGTGCCCTGACCGGGAATCGAATGTCGGTCTGGATCCTAGGTTGATGCTCAACCGCTGAGCAAGGCCTGGCTGGGTTAGAGCTCCCCTTTTGTGCTCCTTTTCCATAAAAGAAAACCATGAACTGGACTTTATGGTAATCATTTTCTTCTTAAAAATAGTTTTTTTCTAAGGAAGTACCCTTAAATACTGTCGTTCACTTTCATATAAATGGAATTGCAGAGAATGTATATTTTGGTAAATTCAGCTTTTTTAACACCATGTTTGTGAGATTAATTCATGTTGTTCAGTATAGGTTTACTTGATTTATTTCCATTGCTCCCACATATTCCATTGTACAATTATACTCTACTTGTTTTTTTTTTTTTATCATTTCTACTACTGTTGATGCATATTTAGGTAGTTTCTGGTGCGGAGTTATTGTGTGTAATGATGCAGTGAAAATTTCTGTACTTGGTTCTTGGTGTAGATATGTACTCATTTTTAAGTGGAAATGCTGGGTTATACTATATTCAAACCTTGAATTTGGTACTTAATACCGGAGTGGTTGTACCATTTAAATCCCACCAGAATGACAGAAAATATTTGTTGAAATTGGATGGCACTTTTTCTAGAGCATTGCAGGTTCTCCTTGACAGATGACTGATTTAAGTTTTTAAGACTAGGGAATTTTATAGAGAGAGCTTATGGTTACTACAGAAAACAATATTTAATTGGTCTGAAATTCATATAACATAACATTAACCATTTACATGCTAACAATTCAGTTGTGCAGCTACCACTTCTCCCTAGTTCCAAAACATTCTCTTTATCCCAGAAGAAAACCGAATATTTATTCCGCAGTTACTCCCGGTTTCTCTCTTGGGAAGCCCCTGGCCAGCGCCAGCCTGCTTTCCACCCTGCGGGTCTGTCTGGTCTGGAGGTGGCAAGTAGCTGCCGTCCCGCAATGTGTGACTTTCTGTTTCTGGCTCTTTTCCTGTAGGATAACGTTTTTTTGAGGTACAGCCACGTTGTAATATGCGTCAATATTTCATTCCTTTTTATGGCTGAATAATACTCCTTTTCTTGTGTATACCACAATTTTTTATTTGTTCATCCATTTGGGTTGTTTCCACCCTTTAGCTGTCTTACTGGTGCTGATACAAACGTGTGTACAAGTATTAGTGTGAGTGCCCCTTTGCAGTTCTTTGAGGAATACACCTATCCTTGTTTGTTTTAGCTTCTGCTTGAACACGTATCCTTTATAATACGTAACCAATTCTAGATAGATATTTTCTGTAGAAAGTTTTAAGATAGCCTGAAAAAACAGAGGTACCTGGAATCCGGGGGAGAAATTGTGTTGTAACTAAAAAAAACCCTGGGACCTCTGTTTTCTCCTCACATGATGTTTTATGTTTTGGTTCTATTATTTTTATAACAATTGTTATTCATGTGTATTTAACTTAATTAGTGACTCCTGACCTTCAAGGGTGAAAATCTTTCAGAATCAGTCCTAGGTGAAAACAGCCATTTAAAAAAGCATTTAGAATTTTAAAAGATGTTGAAAGCTCTGCACTATACATATTCTTTTTGCCATTTGCAAGAACTTTTACTTCGATAATTACTTACTTTTTTTAGTGTAAGTATTTTGTCATATAATTAGGTGACACTGTCCGTTCTTTGAGGACCTTTCTCTTTGGGGCGAATATTTTTCTTTATTTAAATTCTACTAAACACTTTATGAAAAGAGACTCAGGTTGCTCAGAGAACAAGATGTACTCGTAGAAAATTAAGGGTTTCTGGTCCTTCCATTCACACACCTTCAGCGAGTGTGCTTTGGGCTTCTCCTTCCTTCCCCTCCCCCAGGTCCCACGCGAGGCCTCCGGTGCCATGTGCCCAGAGCGGCGTCCCTGCCCCGCGCCTTCTGCTCCAAGGGGAGGTAGATGTTAAGCGACTGTGAACACATTCCTTGGAATGTATTTTTGCTAAGGGTACAAAGTACCAATCAATTAAGGAGTTGTCATTTGTAAAAGAACATACAGTTGAAGAGCAATGCTTGAATTTCTGAGTCAAAATATACTATTTTCTCTCAGCTGTATCGCTCACAGCTCTCTCCGTATTTTTGCATGAAGCTCTCGGATGACATCTCGGAGAGGAGATTATAGGCTGTTCGACAATATCGCTGCACTTAACATTCTCTTTTGAAAGCGCGGAATTTCAGAAGGCATTTCCCTCCTCGTAACACTTATTAAAATTTTATTATGTTGGAATTTCACCCCATTACTCTGTGTAGTTTTACTTATTTTTAAAGCACCGACATTAGAGCGATGGTCATTTTTCTTCATGTTCTCTTTGTATTTCACATGTCAAAACAAAATGGGCATTGTTGTTGGTTAGTTCTAAAAAGGATGTATTTACAGTTTGTGTGGATAAACAGTCTGATGCTGGTCAAAAACAATGTAAACTTTGAACAGGGAGGGATTCATCTTGAAAATGAATCATGCTTGGTGGTATTACCGTTGTTTGTGCTCTTTTTAGCAAAGTAAAGGAAACTGTTAAATAACAGTTGATATAGGGATATTTCCTTTTTACTCTCTGGAGTCAGTCCAGTGTAGGTTAGGATTATTTTATCTACTTGACATTATTTTACATAACAGAATACGTTTATTTATTTGAAATATATTCTCTCTAAATATCTCTTCCTTTCTTATTGCCTTGACCTTAGTCTATGTGAGGGGTGCTTAATTTAAGATCCATGGTCATGGATATGAAAAAAATTACATCTTTATGTTTACTATCCTCTAACCGAAAGTGTTTCCTTTCACTATGAATGTAGACAACACACGGCAGTAACGTTAGTGGTACTTGTGACATTGTCACCAATAAACATACAGATGTTTTATATCACATTATATGTGAACTATATATCTTGAAATGTTTTGAGTTACTGAAATATATTTTGAAATATTGTTTATGCTCATCAGCTTTGAAATTACCGCATATTATGACTAATATTACTGGTTTTAGTATTTATTATACATATATTACTATAGCAAAACTTAATTTTTAAGTGTATTGATAGCTATACTTCAATATAATTGGTTTCCTTTAATTCTATGTATTTTATTTCATACTTTATAAGCATTATTCAGAGAAAGAATCCACAGGCTTTCCCAAACTACCAAGCAGTCCATGGCTCAAAACCTCTAAGAACCCCAATCATCTTTTCTTACCTCATCCGTTTCAATAGCCCCCAGCCTCTTTTACTTCATACACATTTCCTTTGTTACCCATAAATATTACTTTCCACTTTTCTGCTTAAGACCTCGCCGTGTTTCACCGTCCTTGTAGAAAGTTAGAGAAGCTCCCGCCCTGCTTCTAGCTGTTGTCCCACCACACCTGGATCACTGTGTCTTCCCTGAATATGCCACGTGGGTTCATTTCTTGGCACCTTTCCTGTTTGTATACTTGACTCTACTTGAAATAATTATTCCCCTTTGAATGCCTACTAAACCCCTACTTCATTGTGATCTAGCTAAAAATACCATGTCTCTTTAGCCCCTCTTCAACATCTCCTGATGCCGTGTCACCTGCGGCACCTTGATATGAAACCCCGAACGTACTTTTATTATATCACAGCATGTTGATTGCTCATTGACATGCCTGCCTCTCCCACTGGACCAGCTCCCATGAAGACTGGGTCTTATTTGTATTTGTATCTTTGCACCTTGCGTGGTATTTGATAAAATGTAGACTCTAAAGCTTTGAGCCAAGTTTCCAAACATCTTTAGAAGTTCTAATAAAAACAATTTATTTTTTATTTTATTGATTTCTTTTTTTAATTTAATTTTTTTCATCATCATTTATCCCCCCATACCCTCTTCCACCTCCATCGCCCCCCCCGACAATTACCACACTGTTGTCGGTGTCCTTAAGTTCTTTCTGTTTTTCCCCCTTTTTGCTTAATCTCTCCATGCCCCCTACCAACCCCTCCCCCAATAAAACAATTTAGATTTAAATCACTACTTGTCAAAACAAAGAGCTATTCATTCATGGTGACATTGCTATTCATTTTAACATCTTTAAGATACTTTTATTCAACAACTATTACTTAGTGTTTACTATGTCTAAGAACTGTTTCTGAGCTCTAAGAATATCGCAGTGAACAAGAGAAAACGTCCCTGTTCCCATGATGCTGACTTTCTAGTAAGTGCTGTGAGTGATACAGAGGATGGATAGAGAGATAGGTAGGTAGATAGATAGATGTGTTATGAAGAAAAGTAAAGAATTGAAGGGGAATAGGGAATGCCT